AAATATATAGTTTATAAGGAAATATTTAATAAGTTAATTCTTATTTAATTAGTTCCGATACCATGATACCATGTTTGAGATTAATCTCCCTTGTGTATAAATCACACATAGGGTAGTCTATTTATAGTAGAGAGATACAACTAAAAGAGTAACTGAAAGTAACAAAATAAACAGAAGATATTGTTAGATATTATTGTTTGATATTATGGTTAATATCTAACAATATCTTAACAATATTAAATAATATCTAAACAATATCTAACACTCCCCCTCAAGCTGGAGCATACAAATTGTATGTGCCAAGCTTGTTACAAATATAATCAATTCTAGGACCCCATAAAGATTTAGTAAAAATATCTGCTAACTGATCACTTGAGTTAACAAACTCAGTCTTGATGTCTCCAGACATAATCTTTTCTCGAATGAAATGACAGTCAATCTCAATGTGTTTGGTCCTTTCATGAAAGACAGGATTAGAACTAATATGAAGAGCATCCTGATTGTCACACACAAGTGACATCTCCAAATTGTAACTCTCTAAGCAATTGCTTGAGCCAAACAAGTAATAAAAGTTTAAATTATCAATTCTTTTTAATCCTTTAAATAAAATTAGTTTATTAAGATAAAATTTGATATATGATAAATATGAATAATAAGATAAAAAAATGACATAATAAAATATAATAAATATAAATTATAAATAAAATAATATTAGTTACTACTAAGATTTATATAAAATATTTAGAAAAAGATAAAGAAGAAAAAAAATTAACCTTGTGTTCATCAAATTGGTTGAAAAGATTGAAAAAAAAATTGATTGGAGAGATTAAGGAAATGTGAAAAACTAAAAGGTAAGAGAGAATAATGTAATAAACTAATTGATATAAAAGATTAAAAAAGACAAAAAAAAAAGTAGGTAGAAGAAAAGTAAAAATGGTGAAATATAAAAAAAACAACCTTACATGTAAATAGAAAAAGAAAAAAAATACTTTTAAAATATTAATATTTTAAAATTAAAATTAAAATTTAAATATAAAGTTAGGGCGAGGATGAGGTCGGGGTGAGGATTGCATTACCCATTTCCACCCTTGACCCCGACTTTTTAAAGCGGGAAAACCCGAACCCGCCCTCGCCCCAATAAACTCGGGTTTTCCTCGTCAAACTCAGGGCAGGGACGGGTCGGTCCCCACGAGTACGAGTTTAATTTTCATCCCTACTTGCACCCTTCTTTGAGCTTTAATTGACCTTATTTCTTGATGATTTCTCAATCCAACTTGAACATTATGTTTACACCCTGAGTTTTAAGGAACTTCGAATTTGCTTTGTGAAATTATTGAAGATTTTAACTGTGGGGGAGAGGTGTTATGTTCATAAATGATGCATCAAAGCTATTTGACTGAAAAAATGGGTGCTATTTGAAAATATAAAAAGGACAAAAATATGAAAATCAAAATAAAGAATGTATGGTTTGATCTTAAATGGAAAGAGAAAATAAAAAATGAAAAAGAAAAAAGTTCATTGAGATGAAAATTACAATTTTGTTCCCATTGTTCCTCATTTCTCATTGATTTTTAGCCTTGAATCCTTTTCTTTACCCTACCTCCACCTTAACCACATTACAAGCCAATAAGAAGTCTTATTGATCTTGAGTACATTCCTTTCACGTTTTGGAAATTAGAGATTTTTCAAGTTCAAGGCAGTGTTTGCTTGCAAGATGTAGTGAGTGTAGAATTAAACCAGAAACACATGAGAGATTGAGAGAAATATACACCTCGTGAGTTGTCGAATTTGATTCTGAAGTCTGGTTTGAATGAGACTCTAATTTTCTTAATGCATGTAACATGTTCTTGACTAGGTTAGATGCCTCTACCTCTGATGGATAAAAATTTCTTGCTCACATTTCTGCTTATGGTTTTGAACAAGTGCTAATAATGAGTGTATCAATTTTTTGGCTTAGTCTCAACATACACAATTCTCTCTTGTCTCTGTTATTTCCATTGTCTAGGTCAAGTTTTCATGTGTTGTTCGATTTCTATTTTTTGCCCAAGAGTGCAAAAGTATAATTGTGGGGGTATTTGATGGTTCAATTTTCATACTCACATCTTATAGTTGATTGCACCTCGTTAAAATGCACATTTGGAAGTTGAAACATGGATTTAAGATGCACATCTTGTCTCAATTTTTCCACAAAATGTTTGATAGAGCTAAAATCTATTGTGGAATTCTCGACTCCAAGAGCTTGAATTTGAATGCAAGAACATTATTTTTGGTGCTCTAAGCCACTCTCGAATGAGGATTGAAGATGAAGGTAGCATGTTGAACCTAGGATTAATAAACCAATTCTAACACTATCCTGGATTCTCAATTCCTCAAGAGACTTCCACATGTATTAGGCTATGTCAAAATTCTAACCCACGAGAAGAGAAATTAGGACAATTGTGGACACATGTCACCTAAGTCGACAAGATGTAGAAAGAAGTGAGGCTATAAACCATATACACCTCAATCGTTAACAACAGAATGGAGGCTACATACCATTTAACAGTGTCGTGCAAATATTTGTCCGTAGAACTTTTCATAATTCTATTTGTTTTGTTTTTAGTGTGGAAAAGTTCTATATAGAGGGGGAAGAGAGAGGTTACTCGGGGAGGTTACTTTTGGGTTAGAATCCTCATTCTCTGGACAAAGCAATAGGGTAGAGAGTAATGGAGGGAGATTAAAAACACAAAGTTTACTTTATGTTGTAATTTTAACTTTCAAACAATCGACACACTTGTTTTCACTATTCCATTGCTTTATGTTAGTCATCACACATTTTAATTCTTGTTTTATAGTTGTTTCATGCTCTTTGATTTAAGTTTTAATTGTTAATGTTTCTTGATCGTAGTCAAGTTGTGATCAAGTTTAGTTTATTTCTCTATTCATCTTATTTGCAATTATTTTACTATTCACATTTTAACCAAGCTTTCAATGTTGGTTTGATTGTCTTCAAGTTTCACAATGTTTGAGTGTTGTTTGATTATTATGTTGTTTTTTCTCCAAACTTAATGTTGTTTTAGAAGTTTTCTTTATTTTGATTTGTTCAAAGCACAACTTTCTATTTGTGTTATTTTAGTTTACTTTCCTCAATTTTCAATTTTGTTATCTTTGATCTACTTTATTGTCTTGTTTGATTTATTATTGTCCTATTTTCACTATTTTCCTTTGGTTTATTATTTTCTAACTTTCTTTGATTTACTATTGTTTTCAATTTATAACTTTATTTGATTTATTACTCTCTTCAATTTTATGTTTCCTTTGATTTATTGTTATCTCCAATTTTCTCGCTTTTCTCAATTTATAGCTTGTTGTAGTTTCTGCTTTCTTCAATTGACTGCTTATTATTTTTCTTGATTTATTGTTTTCTTCGATTTCAATTTACTGTCCCTTCTCAATAGTTTTCTTAGACTGATTTCTTCTATTGTTTCTATCGATTTTTCTTTTAGTGTTCGATTTCTCTTTTAGTGTTCGATTTCTCTTTCTTTACTCGATTTTACTTTAAATGCTCAATTTCGTTTTCTTCAATTGCTCTATTTTATTTAATTTGTTAATTCTTGATGTATTGACTGATTTCTTTGATTCATTGATAATATCTTCGATTAATCAAGAATTATTACCCTTGATTTTCCTTGCTTTGATTGTTCGATTTTCCTCTCTTTGATTACTCGATTTTTCTTTCTTTCATTACTCGATTTTTGAAGTCTCAATTTCCTCTTGTTTCAATTTTCGTTTCTACCTCAATTTTCTTTTTTGTCTTGATTTTCTTTGAGGTCTCAATTTTCCTTTATGCCTCAATTTTCTTTTCCTTATTTACATTAACTAGTATTTTCTATATTTTACGTTCATTTTTCTTAGTTTTTTGTGTTTAATATAAAATCATCCATCATTCCTTATAAGTAATAATCTCGATGCATTAAACATTTCTTGAATTGACCTGAGTTGACTACTGTAGTACATTTAGTTAATAAGGAGAAACTTAGAAATTTTTTATCACATTAGGGACGAGAGTGCTGCATGCAAATATATGGTCACGTCAAAATGACTTTGTCATTGCTCTTGTGTCCCCTCCGAAATCATCAAATACATATCTCTATCACTTTCATCTCATTTGCTCTCTTCTCTCTTTTTCTTCCTCTCTTATAGTCCGGATTATTACTTTACAGTGTTTATTACTAGTTTTGAGTTCATCATAAATGTGAGAAATTCCTATTATATTTTAGAGAACATGTGTAACACATCGCAGATAAACTCTTAAAAATAATTATTATACATATTTCGAGAATCAAATTTTGTTAATATTTTTGTTAACATATATTTATCAATAATTATACATTTTTTATGAATTATTATCCATCAACAATTATACATTTTTGATGAATTATTATCCACGAGGAATTCATAGTATTGGGTTAATACATATACTAAAATTTAATCACCCTTCCTGTTTACCATATAAAAATATAACATTGATTACTATACATATATTAAAATTAATCTCTAATGATAATTTAAAAGTTTAACATATACAATATAACATTAGTTACATAATACTTGGAATAAAAAAGCTCATTTATTTTACAACTAGAATTATATTAAGCCAACATATTATTTATTATTCTCTTATAAATAGTCTTGGAGAAATTTATTTATATATATATATTTAAATCAGACCAGCTTTTGCGGATCCAACATGTACGAAACAGCTTAGATTTTGCAATTTTGACCATCTGTTGCTTGATTTTCAAATTTCAAGAACCTTGATTATGAACAGTTACCCACAACGTGCAGCAAACACACATTTCTACCGTAATTTACACTCAACATTTTGAACCAGTTTCTAAAGAAAACCTGGAAACATATATGTATTCACACCAGACAAAAACTCTATTCCCAGTTCAACAATGGAGAACAAAAGATAGCAAAATAAAAATTAAAAATTGATTAACAGACAATCTTCATCTTCACCAGCTTTTCTTACGTGAATGCTTTGCTTGATCCATTTTCTTGAAAGCCTCAGAATTAGCACCACTTTTTGGAGAAAGTAACCAATCAGTGACCATCTTTTTTTCACTACAATCTCTAACATAATCTTTCTTCTTTGTTCCTTCATTCACCATCTTCTTCTCACTCCACCCTCTCACATAGTCCTTTTTCTTCACCGTTTCATTGGTCACCACAATCTTCTTTTCACTTAACCCTCTAACATAGTCCTTCTTCTTCGTTGACATCCTTGTGTTTGATGGTGAACTACCCTTCACAGTGGAGATCACATACCACAAAACACATGTATAAAGAGTTGTAGCTGATCTTCCAAACACAACCAAGAGCAACAAAATCAACACCATAACCACAGGCAAATAGAAAGACGGCTTCCCCATATCCCAAGAAAAGTTCTTCTTAGCTACCATTCTATGATTTGTTTCTATCTTGGGTTGGTTTCTCTCTTCAGTTTCAGTAATTATTGTCTCTGAGGTGTGAGTCAACGTTGTTCTTGCTCTCACCACTTTGAGTTCTTGGCTATTGTGTTTGTGATCCTTGTTGTTTTTCTTCACCTTGACCACAACAGGAACAATATCATTTGTGTTGGAGTACACAAAGCGAACGAAAGAGATGTCATGAGGGTTCATCTGTGAATAAACCTGCTGCCTCTTCTCATCAAGATCAGCCAAAAGCTCAGAAAACTTGTCTAGGCCACGACTGGAATAAGGGTTCTTCTTGCTATCTTTTCTCTTATATTTTCTGGGGCTAGAAAGAGGACTTGCAAGACATGGATCATCATCATCATATTCGTTATGGAAAGTGCCACAAACAAAAGGGCTCAGCATATGCATAGAAATATGGTCTTAGGAGAGCAGAAGGTTTGGTTTGATGAGTTTTGTGAAGATGTATGTTTGCTTTGATAATGGGTTTGAACAGAGAGAAATAGAGATGACTAGACCAAAGCATGCCTCAGAGTCAACTCATACATAAAAACAAAGGCCTTAAACTTTTACAATGATCTGAATTGAAGAAGCTTCTGAAGAGGCATTATTGATTTTTGACTAGAGGGAATAAACAAACAATTCCATGTTTTTTAGTCTAATATGAATTTATATAATATGAATTTATAGGAAAAGATAGACTACAGTGGCGTAGGAAGTGAGGTAAGAACATGTTAATTTCTTGGGGAGAAGGGCATGGAATTAGTCTTTCGTTTGGTGAAACAAGTTCTAATATATCGATTGATAACGAATTCTAGAAGGAACAAGGTTTGAATATGAAGCCGGAAATTAATTAATAAGAACACTGAATGTAGTTGTCAACTAAAAACATTGACAGTGCGGTGGTCTCATGTCAATTCAAGAATTTATATATAAATATATTCATTCTCATGAAACAGTGAATTATGTTTGAAATTTTAGCTTATATATGATCGCATATTTTTAATTACAATAATGGTAGAGTTTAAATTGAGTTTATATTTTAATTAATGACCTGTTTTATCTTTCTTTTTTCTATAATGGGGACCTGTTTTTGTAGTCTGAAATATAGGATATTTTAAAAATTATATACTGAGTTAATGCATTTGAGGTGGACTAAGATAAATGATAGTTAGAAAATGATTTAGTTTTTATGTAAAGAAAATGATTGATGTAATGATTTATCTAAAATATATTATAAAGTGATGAGTAGATAAATATGCATTAAGTAGCATGTTTAGGTTGAAATCTAAAAGGTCTTGACAACAAGAATATACTGAGAGAAATATAGAAACGTGAAAGAATATATATAGATTTAAAAATATAATATTTTAAATAAATTAAAATTATCAATATATATTTAATTAAAAAAAAGATTTAAAAATTTTATAGGAGATTGTGGTCCCTAAAATTACCAAGAAGATCCCTAACTAAAGCTAAAGTGTCTTTGGAAAATAAACGGATATATCACAAAAAAAGATATATGACAATATTTGATAAGATATTTAAGTTGATTTATTTGTTTTTACTTATAAAATAACTTGTTTGATTTCATTATTTTGTATTGTTTTCGATATACTACTTCAAATATTCACTACAAGAAAAATCGCTTTTAACGACCGAAAAAATCGGTCGCTAATGACCAAAATTCGGTCGCTATTCGTTAGTGATCAAATTAGCGACCAAATGGTTGGTCGCAAAAGGGCAAGTCGCTAAGTTGTTAGCGACCGATTTACATTTCGGTCGCTAAATAGCGACCGATCCGGTGGTCGCTAAAGTAGTCGCTAAATAATTTGGTCACTTATTCATTGGAGACCAAAATAGCGACCGAATTAAGTGGTCGCTAAATCTGGTCGCTAAATCCGTGGTAAAGTTTTAAAAAATAGCGACCAATATATTCGATCGCTAATATATTAATATAATTATTTAAATAATAATTAAAATCGGTCGCTAAATAGCGACCATAAATAGCTGACCGATTTAAATCGATCGCTAAATCAATGACAAAGGTAAAACAATAGCGATCGATTTAAATCTGATCACTAAATCAATAAAAAAGTTAAAAAAATAGCGATCGATTTAAATCGATCGCTAAATCAATAACAAATTTAATTATTTTTATTTATTTACATTTTTATTATATTTATTATTTATTTTCCCTACCTCTTAATTATATTATATTTTTTAGAAGTTTAACTTATTATTAGGTGATTTATTGTCATTATCGAGATTCGAACCCTAGTACCTTAGAGTTGGAGGCTGAAACTCCAACCACTGAGCTACTAGGATCTTTTAATAATAACTTACAAATAAATTATATTTATATACAAATAAATGTATATCCGTATAAATATATAAATATAAAATTTATAAATAAAAATATATTTATATATTTTAATATATATTTAAATATTGATATATTTAAATATTGATATATTTAAATATTGATATATTTATATATTGATATATTTATATCTTTATATCTTTATATTTTTACATATATTTATATTTTTATATATTTATATCTTCATATTTTTACATATATTTATATCTTTTCATATTTATATATAAAGATATTAGTTTTCTATATAAATAATATTATAATATAGTATATTATACTATTAGTATAGTATACAAATAATATATTAGTATAGTATAGTATACAAATTATTTATTTTGTAATTTATATACAATGAAAATAATATAATGGTATATTAGTATAGGATAGTATATTTGTATTCTAATTTTTAATTAAATTAAAATTATGCTAATAATGTATATTAATATATGAGGGGATAATATTGATATATTGATATATTTGTATATATATATATATATATATATATATATATATATATATTATATATTTATATATTTATATATTTATATATTTATATATTTATATATTTATATATTTATATATTTATATATTTATATATTTATATATTTATATATTTATATATTTATATATTTATATATTTATATATTTATATATTTATATATTTATATATTTATATATTTATATATTTATATATTTATATATTTATATATTTATATATTTATATATTTATATATTTATATATATATATATATTTATATATTTATATATTTATATATTAATATATTTATATATTAATATATTTATATATTAATATATTTATATATTAATATTTTGATATATTTATATATTGATATATTGATATATTTATTTATATCCTTATACATTTATATCTTTATATATATTTATATATTTGAAAAATAAATATTAAATTTTAAAAATAATATTATATTTTTAAAAATAAATATTAGAAAAATATTTAAAAATATATATAAATTATATTTACATGTACAAAATATTAAAGATATATGTTTATATCTTTACATATTTATATATATTTATATGTTTATATTTTTACATATATTTATATCTTTCCATATTTATATATTTATATATAAAGATATTAGTTTTGTATACAAATAATATTATAATATAGTATATTATACTATTAGTATAGTATACAAATAATATGTTAGTATAGTATAGTATACAAATTATTAATTTTGTAATTTATATACAATGAAAATAATATAATGGTATATTAGTATAGTATATTTGTATTCTAATTTTAAATTAAACTAAAATTACGCTAAATGTATAATAATATATGAGAGGATAATAAATTTAATCCAATTACTTTTATAAAATCTATAAAATATTAAAAATGATATTATATTTTTAAAAACAAATATTAGAAAAAGGTTTAAAAACATGTATAAATTATATTTATATGTCCAAAATATTAAAGATATCCACATTTAAAACAATATTAAAAAATATTAATAATAAATTTAATTCTTTAAATTTAGTATTTAGAAACTAAAATTATAGTTTCTCTGTTTTTAAAAAATTAAAATAACTATTTAAAAATAAAAATCAAAACTAGTATTATCTTAAATTTATTAAAAGTGTAATTAAATCTCTATTTTCTTAATTTTATTTGTTTCAAACATCTCAATTCTACATTTTTGTAAGTTCTATCATTATATTATCATCCTCATCTCCTCCCATGTTCTACTTTATCTTTACTATAGTCAATATTCTTAACTAATTTATATTTTTATTTATAATTTTTTAGTATATATTTCAGAAATTAATCAATTCTAATCTATTCTTTGAAAAACTAATCAATTCTAATTAATAATTTATAAAACTAATCGATTATAATTAATTATTTGAAAAAATTATCAAATATGATCGATCATTTCAAAAATCTGATCGATCAGAGAAAAAATCGCTCGAGCGAGACTAGAGTCGCTCAAGCGAAATACAACCCGAGAATGTCAATTTTGTGCAGGGCGTTTAGCTCGAGCGATTTTATTTTCGCTTGAGCGAATAAGACTTCTAATAGCGGTTAACGCTTAACCGCTATCTAAAATATGATTAAGATAGCGGTTAACCCATAACCGCTATCTAAAATACATTTTAGATAGCGGTTAACCCCTAACCGCTATTATATCCTCTCAATTATGATCGATTATTTCAAGGTATGATCGATCAGAATCTTATTTCGCTCGAGCGAGAGTACTCGTCGCTCAAGCGAAATATAACCCGAGAATTCACAATCTTAAAATATTTTTTTGAATATTATGTTTTTAAATTTGCTATTAGAGAAAACCTTTCAGAATTCAAAATGTTAAATAGTTTTAAATATTAAAATTAACTTTATCAAAAATTAGGAAAAAAAATTTATCCAAAAGAGTTCAAAAATGTATAAGAGTATTCTCAATTTTGAGTTTAATTATATTGTTCATTCTCAAAGTAGAAAATTATATTGTAATTATTTTAATTTACATTTTGTGATATTCTTAAAATTAGCATCAATAACATTAGACTTTACATTTGATTCATACCTAACTAATTATAGATTAAAAGGAAAGTGGTATAACCATGCATTTTACTTTTCTATTTACCTTATTCTTTTAATTATTTTATATAATATTTACCTTATTCTTTTAATTATTTTATATAATAATAATCAAAATATTCACATTCATATGGGCGTTTTCAAAAATAATATTATTGTATTATTGTTAAAATTAGCATCAATAACATTAGACTTGATCTTCTTAATTATATTGTTCATTCTCAAAGTAGAAAATTATATTGTAATTATTTTAATTTAATAAAATATAATTTAAATTTTTAATACTAAAATTAAAAGATTAAATAATAATGACTTTAATTCTTTAAATTGAGTATTTAGAAACTAAAATTATAGTTTCTCTGTTTTAAATAATTAAAATAAAAATCAATATCAAAACTAGTATTATCTTCATTTTTTTTGTTTCAAACTTCTCAATTCTACATTTTT